GCCCGTCCACCGCCGACCAGCGTGGTGACATCCCTGCACATAAGCCTACAGTATTTAGAGTTATATGTGCAGGCACGGTGAATCCGTGATTGCTGGATGTTCTGCCGAAGAAATGGACTGTCAAATGCATGTTAGTTGTTTGCCAATAGACAGAGGATGTTTCACCGACAGCCATTCACCAACATCCAGCAAATTCGCTGATACTAACTATAGCCAATTTGCCAACAGCCAATTTGTTGACAGTCAATTAACCAACAACCAATTTGCTGAAAATGTTTTTGTAAAATTATGATGGGAGACAGTATGCCTATAAACTACATAGACGTTTCTTATTTGGCCTGATATTTTGTAGGTTCCTACAATGATAAGCATTTTGGATTTATTTAAAGATATGCTGTCTTACGTGAGCTTAAAATATTTAAAAATCTAATACCATATTTGTATTGCTTAATTTATTTTAATATTTAAGTATTAAGCTATTGTAAGGTACAATTGAAAATCTGAATGAGAAAAATTTTCCAGTCAGTTAACAGAAATTTTAATAATACCTTTCCTATATTCTTTTACGTAGATCCTTAAATTGGCTGGTAATTAAATTAAGGTTTTTGAAAGTAAAAAGTGTGTAAATCGGCTAAAAATGTATATATTTTTTTTTATCTGTTTCTGGTCAGAAGTTAATAACTTATTTCATCCTATCAAATGAGATATTCAAAATTTCAATTTAATTTATGATTTTTTTCCCAAGTTTTTTTAGGCAGGCAGTATATCTTATAGCATAAGATAAATTTGTTTAATACTTTTTTTAACTTAACAGTAAATATTTGGTTTATTTTCTGTTAGTGAGTATTTACTAAAGTCAAGCATCATGGATAACGTGCACCTTGCCAACGAGGATGAAGATGACATGTACGCAGGATTCAACGATTATAATCCAATGTATGATACAAATGTAAGTATCAAACCTGTAGTCACGTCCATAACATTTTTGGCAAAGTGACAAACGCATTAACAAGCAATAATTTATAAACTATAGAGCCAAGCCTTGTCATTTGATTGGTGGATTTCGTATCACATGACATTTGTTATTTACCCCATTTTGTCACTCATGGAAATTTAGTTCCATCATGTATTTTACTTCCATCTGTGTATTTTTTATTCCATCCCTTTTGCTCCATTGCACGGAGCCCAGGACACAATGTCTTCAACCTAATACAATCTTTTGATTGGTTGAAAAGATGCTGGACTGTTCCATTTAGAAAAAGGGTATATTTTTAATACTGAAATATTAAATAACAAGAATCTCTATTCAGAAAAAAGGTAGATTTTTTTCCATAAAATATCAAATGACAAGAATATATTTTGGGTGAATAATGAAGGTTTTCTTATTTGCGCAATGGAAAGAATATTCTCATGAGTTAAAAGATTGACTGTTCCATTCTACTCGGCTGCATCTCGTCGAATGGAACAGTCAATCCTTCAACTCATGAAAATATTCTTCCGATTGCACTGATAATCGTTTATTATTCGTAGATTATTACATTCACATTGATTAGCTATTAGAATAAAACTGACAAAAAACAAACTTTCCTATTGATTTTCAAATAATTATATTAAAATTTTGTAATATTACACAATCTTTCTTTTTTTTATTCTAAAAGATTTAGTTTTAACTTTTACTGTTTTTTTTTTTTTGAAATAGAAATGATTATTAATCTTTTTAAATAATTTTAGGAGCTGGAAACTGATGAAGGGTTTCAGCAAGCTGTTAGGACAAGCCATGGTAGAAGGCCACCCGTAAGTTTATAGACATCTACAACATCTTTATAACTCAACCAAAAAGCATTCATGTATTTACTAGTTCAATAATGAATAACCACATACAAATTGTTGATTTTTTAAATCACAATTAATTTCTGTTCAATATTATTTTCTTTTTTGTTGATCCAAAAAAAATATTAGTGAGTTTTTGCAAGCTTACGTACACAATAACGAATACGATTATGTCATCAAATTTTTAGACACACCTTTCCCTACAGTAGTATAGTGTATCTTTCACAAGGTAGGTAATTCATGCCTTTTGCATGAATCAATGATCATACTCAGCTTTTACAACATATTGTCAAGAATTTTTTAGGTACGAACGATGTTTTCGTATTCGTTATCGTTTTCGTAAGGTTGTGAAATCTCCCTTTTGCTAAAACGTTTACGTTTAAGCCGGGCAATCACTGCGCCCGATGATTGTCAGCCGACTTGATTCTATTAAGAACGCAACACCATGACATGTGCACAACAGATCTTTTTACTGACGATCCATGCAGACTGCCACCAAAAATCAGCAGACAGCGCTGCCGACGGTCGTACGATGGAGTGAGTGCCCGGCGTTCATTCTATCTCAAGTGTACTGTCAATGTTAAGACAGACTAAATAAACTAAAAGAATCCTTATGCATCAGAAGGAAAAGAGACATTATGAACAGAGATGAGGGAGGAAACGAATTATCCACACATATGATTACATCATACAACATCAAAAAGGAGGAGGGGCGCTGAAGATGACCTGTCGTCAAAAAACATCAAGACGACTGGAGGCGCAGACTAAACTCAACAACACTGAGGTGACGTCATGACCAATCTATCGTAACATCAACAGTACACTTGAGAATGCTGGCGGATCACCAGCGAAACATTGTGAATTTAAATGTATTTGAACATTAAGCAATATTTTTGGATCAACAAAAAAGAAAAAAAAACATCAAATTTATTTAATGGATGAATTTTTTTTCAATTAATTTCTATGTTTCCATTTCAGATGACTGGTGCACGGAATCAGGTACTTAATTTTCATTCAGTTATGATAAAAAATGTATATGTACAGTTCATACAAATATTATAAAAATTATAAGGTAAAGTTGTAAATTAGAAATGCCTATAATATTACAAGAAATAATATAAAATTGAAAATGTTAAGAAATGTAAGATAAAGTTTATTTTAGCTTGGAAAGGCAGAATATATTATAAAAAAATAGATAAATGTATAGATTATAAATATGTCTAAGAAATGTAACATTGTTAGCTTTAAAGAAATTGTAAGTTAACCAATGCTTGGACAAGTCCATTTTGTTGTGCAGAAGTAAAAATAAACTTAATCACAAACAAGTTCTTGTGATCTTGAAAGCCCTGATGAGGGCAGTATAATAGAGGCACTACAACTAAGAAAGATCTATTAATCAATCAGCCGAGTTTCTAGAGCTCTTTATGAGGGCAGTATAATAGAGGCAGTAGATCTAAAAAAGATCTATTTAATCAATCAACTATTAATCAATCAGCCTCATGAGGGCAGTATAATAGAGGCAGTAGAAAAAGATCCAATCAGCCGAGTGTTTCTAGAGCTCCTCATTGGAGCTAACAATATAAAATATGAAAGTTTATGAAATTATATTGATAAAATAATTTTTTTAAAAACAAAACAAAACCAACTACTTGAAAGTCTGGTAATAAAACAAGGATTCCTCATTACCAGGTAAAATCCCAGTACCTTCCCCCACCCCAATAACATAGAAAGTATAAACAAACAATAGTGTCATGATTTTTTTAATTTTCTTTATTTTAAATTCAATTACTAGTTTGTAATTATTATAATGCTGATATAGTACTGTATTACAAATATCTAATTACATTGCAATGCTAATATAGTATTACTCCATTATATTCTTTACCATTAATTTCTTTTACTTCTTTTGTTTAATTTCTGCTACAATCCAGATTCCTTTTTTCTCGCCGGTAATAATGGATATTTTATAATTTTTTTTCTTTATTGTTTGTGATTTTTGTAATAATGTAATTTGATTTACTAAGATATTATAATACATACTCCAAGTATCGAAATGCACGCCATTTTGTCGGGATTCAATATTTTGACATTAATTATGTCATCATCATTTCTGATGATGACATAATTATTGTCAAAATATTGAATCCCGACACGATGGCGTGCATATCGATACATGGATTATGTATTATACTATCTTATCTGAGATTAATCAGTGGACCTTTCGGTTGATTTACTACAGTACTAATATTAATTCAAAAATAGCCCTCATGGAAAAAAGGTGTTTTAATTAATGTATAATTTGTTGTATCGTCTTAAGAATCGTCTTAAAACTGGAATGCTGACATCGTCTATGGGAAGACTGGTGACAGGAATGGCTACTGTAAGTGAACTCCAAAATCCTATTCATTTATTCGGATATTTATATAGCGCCTCCCTTTGCAGCAAAGCGCTTCTTTCCCCCTGTCATTGGGTCCACATGCTTTAAGGGTTGCCGCTGTAATTAGCGCAGGAGCAGGCAACCCCACCTGGTAGCCATTTATACTCCTCGGTGGAGAAGCAATACAGATAAAGTGCCTCGCTCAAGGACTCAAGTGAAATGCACAGCAATGGATTGAAACCATGACTTCAGGGTTGACAAAACAAACCATTCACCTGCTGCGAATAATAGAAATAATTGATCAGTCATATATAGCGCATTATACCAAGGCTGCTATGTGGTTCCATTAATAACGTTAGCCATTGGTTTGAACACCTTTGAACACATAGTCGTGGGGAAGTATTCAAAAAGTGTAACTTCACGGAGGGCAACTTGGAGACTGCTTTATTCATTTTATTTAATTCTACCAAGAGGAATAAAAATGCCCTCTATATCTCGATCACCAGACAGACAATGATAATATTTATTTTAATTTTCATTAGGAGAATGCTACAGCCAGGCCAATGACAGCTGTTCGTGGGGCTGGCTATTCCTCAGCTGGTAGAGGTCAAGTATTTGACCCTCTTAATCAGGCAGCAAGCCGAGGACCAGCACCGCCTCTCGAAGCGAAGGCCGAAGACACACCAGAAGAGAAGATAAAACAACTAGAACAACAGGTCAACGATCTCATCGAGGCCAGTTGCTTTGCCCACAGTCGAGGGGAACTCGGTTTGGTAAGCATCATCATGTAATCAAACTTAATTTATAATTCATGTAGAGTGCGCTACAACATTGTATAATATTTTTATAAAGAGGGCGCTGTTTCCTGATAATTCATTTTAGAATATTTTAATTTATTTTCAATCATTTCTTAAAGTATGAACAGACTACAGAGTTTGTGATGCAAGTCATAGTGATTTTGTATTTCAAACTTTATTTCTTTATCTTTAACTTATACCCTCTAAATTTACTCATTTACCTTTGTTTTTGGAAGTGAATTTATTTAACATTTGTTTAATCTGCAATCTCGTAGGCTCTGGAGAAAGCAAAAGAAGCTGGACGCAAAGAGCGTATACTCGTCAGACAACGTGAGCAGAACCAAACCAGTGATCAAATTAATTTAGATCTGACATATTCTGTAAGTATTCTAATCATATTTATTTATTTATTTATTCAGGAAAAACAATAGTGCAATTGTTATTCTATGATTTAAGTCTATTTCTCTGTAGAACAGTAGCAATCCTAACCCATTTTACCCTACTGCATGGTTGTAAATTTTGTCCTTGAACAAGGGAAATTTATCAATGTTTTCCACTCTACCCAAGAGTACAAATGGGTGCCTGGAAGGGATGATTTTATTTGAAAATGAAGTTTCTATTGTAAAAAGTGATAATTAACCTGTGCCTCGTATAAGTTACAGCATAGCTTAGGCATAATAAATCCTTGATTTTTTTTTTTTTATCAAGATTAATTCTTAAAATTTGCATAATTTCTCTTTTCATACCTCTTATTTGTTGACATTTTCAGATTTTGTTCAACTTAGCCAATCAGTATGAAGCTAATGAAATGTTTACAGAAGCCTTGAACACTTACCAGGTCATAGTGAAGAATAAGATGTTTTCTAATGCAGGTAAGGATTATATTAATTTTCAATACTACATCCTATGAAGCCAGCCAGACTACCAGCAAAAACTAGCATACACAAAAGCTTATGTCAATAAACATCTCAACTCATCTCCAAAGTGCTACTTTTACTTTAAATTACTGTGTATTATTTTTGTACTAGTTGGCTTTTCCTGCGTTAACACAAAATGCCATTGATTTTGTTCTGATTTTTTTTTCCTATCGCGTTTTCCTATGTTTTTGCACAGTGTTCGTTGTCAGGCACTTTGACCACTTTCTGTGCTTGGATCTGCTTCAAACTTTGTCCAAGCAAATTTTTTGTTACACAATTTGCATTTCCTAAAGCGTTTCAAAGTAGTTGTAGAGCTATGTAAACACAAAATTACCTTGAAATTCATTAACAATTTTTGCCTTGACTTATAACATTACACAAGGTAGACACAAACTTAAAAATATATTGACCTCCAGGGGTTCGGGAGTCGGGTTATTTTAGCTTAATGGTAAGAACTCTCAACATCACCCATAACTGACGTCAAGTTGATATTCATGTTAATTTTTTTGACTTCATAATTTTCTTGAGTATGTTTATATTTTTTACTTTTATTTTGTTGTTATTTAAACATCAGTTCTCCATAGTTACCAACCGTCTCACATCATGCGGGGCGATCCCGTATTTTAAAGTGATTTTGAATAAAACACGCATTTTGCAGGAACACATGCGTGATCATAAATATTGTCACGCATTTAGCACAAGTGATAACGAATTATAACAAATTTCAGGGGAAAATGTATTTACAAAAGAAATTGGTTTTATTAAAGATATAAGCAGGTCAGGTATTTAATTCACTGGCATGTAACTAAATTGATCAGTATACATATGCATTTTTTGTTTGTTTGAGTAATGAAATGTTTGTGTACATAGTTTGGGTGCTCAAATTTAGGCCTACATTGAAACTCAAATTGTATGTGGCTTTATTAAAAATATTTTTGTGTATGTACCCGGTATTGTCAACAAACACCCCATGAAATCATTTTAAAACAGCTTAAAAATGCTCAGATCGTCGGAGTGCCAGAGGGCTTCGGCCCTTGAAACCCCCACCCAGGCCTCCTTTTCCCCGGCCCCCAGCAAACACGCATTTCAAATTTCTCGGGTAACTATGCTTCTCATTAGGCCAATATAGAAAAACCTTACGTTCTGTTTTCTAAGCAGACCTACTAAGTCTAGTTGTAAATTGTAATTGATAGTCTGAAAGTTTGAAACCTTACACACTCCATGGCTACGTGCTTCTTTGCTGTTAGCTTAATGTTATCTTGAGTGCTAGCATTAACCTGCTGTGTTATACTACTTTTCAGGACGTTTGAAGTTAAACATGGGTAATATTCACTACAAGCAGCGTAACTTCTCCAAAGCCGTCAAGTATTATCGTATGGCACCTGTCTCTTATACACATCTAGATGTGTATAAGAGACAGCATGTAGAGTGCGCTACAACATTGTATATTCCTCCATTCACTTGTTTTGCTGGAGTACAAAAAGTAATCATATTTTGAGTTATGAAACACATATTATGTAACTAAACCTCAATGCATTCGATCTTGAATTTTGATAAACTTTATATATTTTATTTTAAAATAGTATAAAACTTTCTATGTTAATTTTATAGAAGATTCTCATATAGTTTGCCATTTTCATCAGCTTACCAGAATTTGAAGTGTTTTTCTCATAAAGTATCAAAATCAAATGAAAATATAAATGTTTAAAATTTAAAAAAATTTTAGGATAAGAATTATGCAGAATATCGGAACTGTATTTATAAAGATGGGTCAGTACAGCGACGCCATTACATCCCTTGAGCACATCATGTCTGAACGGCCGGACCCCAAGACCGCCTTCAACCTCATCCTCTGCTACTATGCCACTGGAGATCGCGACAAAATGAAAAGGACGTTCCAACGACTCCTCCAAGTTGATCTGAAGATGGACGATGAAGACAAATACTTACCACATCCAGTATGTAAAAAAAATATTGTCTGTTTTATATATTTAGATTAAGTTAACCAATTTCCATTCAAGAAATATTTAGCACAAATCAAAATTTGGTAATGTGCTCTTAAGATCAAAATTAAAATGCATCGAATTAGAAACAAAATCTAAACCTGAACACCTTGAAAATAAAGCAGAAAGAAACAGTCTAGGCTGAGAAACAAGTTATCACCTCACCATTTGCCAAAAATTTAAGGCACGTATCAGTGGCAGGTTCAGGAATTTGAAATAGAGGAGACCCATGGTGGGAATTGTAAAGATGGAGATATTTCTGTGGCACCTGAATATTGGTGGAAATGGAACCTTATCTTTTTTTTTCTGGTTTTGTTTTTAATTTTCAATAATTAAGGGGGTACCCTGGCTCTCTCCCCTTGAATTCACCTCTGCACATTGTTGTTAGTCAAGCATGACCAATAAATAACAAGAACAAACTCATCATGTTTGTAGAATAACACATGTATAATAATGTTACTATGGAATTAGTCAAGCATGACCAAAAATAACACCTACCTCAGCTTGTATGTGAAGGGGTCCAAAGTCTCCTACAAGCACTACTTTATTATCAATTGTCTCATGGAAGTCAGTGCATCGATGGATATCACCATCCACAACAAAATAAAATATGTTACGAAAGGGCACTTAAACCAGATTTCCCGAAAGGAGTTTCTTCCAACTTGGACCCATGTATGTGTACAAAAAATGATTTATTTATTACTATAAACTTCTTTTTGATTTATTCTAGGATGACAAGCATGAAAACCTTATCCTTGAAGTTATCAAGAATGATACCCTGAGGCAAAAAGAAAAGATAAAGTAAATTGTTTATTATTGTTTTCCTTTTTATATTGTTCAAAGCTTATATGTAATTACGTCAGACATGCTACACATATGGAAACATGGTCATGAGACTGTATATTTTTCTGTAGGAAAGCAGAATTGGAAAGATGCGTGATGGCAGCTGCCAAGCTCATAGCGCCCTCTATAGAGCAAACCTTCTCTGCTGGCTATGACTGGTAAGATTGTACTAGGTGCTCATATGTAAACTTGTTACTTAGTATTTATATAGCTCCTTTCCTTTAGGTTATAAAGCGCATTGCGTCCACATGCTTCAGTGGCTGCCATATTGGCGCAGTAGCAGGCAACCCCGCCAGGTACCCATTTATACTTCTGGGTGGCAAGAATCAACGCAAGTAATGTGCCTTGCTCAAGTAAAGTACATAGCGTTTATACAATGCTTAATGTCTTGATAATTAATGATTAAGGATATATTATTAAAGACTTGTTATTTCAGTATTTGTAATTATTAAAGATATCTGGAAAGCCTATAGATAATTCCTCAGTTACTAGTTACTACATAGAATCTGCTAAGTCATCAGCTTCCAACAGAGGCCAAATATGTTCATGATGATGCCATATCACACCCATATGTGGACATATCACACCCATATATGCAGGTGCATATATGGGCACATAGATATTTGTCCCATGAATGTTGAAAGTGTTAACGGAGCTTATGTCTTTATCTATTCTTCCCTGCAGGTGTGTTGATTGCGTCAAGCAGTCACCTTTCACTGAAATGTCAAATGATCTGGAGATCAACAAAGCCATCATGTACCTCAAACAGAAGGAGTTTCAGATGGCAGTTGATGTTCTGAAGTCGTTCGAGAAGAAAGACACCAAGTGCGCAGCTGTCGCCGCAAATAATCTGTCGTTCCTCTATTTTTTACAACACGACTACAACCAAGCAGAAAAGTACGCTGAGCTAGCCATGACCGCTGATCGGTACAATCCCAGTGGTAGGTTGGATGAGTGCCCATATTTGTTCGTAGTCAAAGAGTATAAATAGAAGAAGAGAGCCAACTACGCTCATTGAGAGCGTGAACAAACGATACTCCGTACACAGCCAGTGTAGGACGCCCACTGTCGTTTGTATCTTCTGCCGCACACGGTCTGTTTGCCTGTTTATCAGTTTTCCACATGATAGAGTTGTTTATACTTATCAAGTTCATAGCGGGTGTACTTTTAAGTACACATGTGTAGAGTTCCTATTGGAACTTTACGCACATGAGTATGCAGGTGAACATACAACCGTCAGTGGGCATCCTACGCAGACGTGATCTTTTTACAAACGGGAGTACACTCTCTTGTTCTATTTATACTCATTGGTTTAGTTCAACTGTTGAATTTTTTTTGATAGTTATAAATAATAGTTAATTATACAGCGGTGGGGTGGAGCTCTTGCATGGTTTTTAAGATGCTTGCCTTCCAACCCTAGGTTCTTTGGTTCAAATCCTATCGGAAACCTAGAATGTTTTCTCGCAACTAAAAACAACTCCACTCTCTAAGCTCCATAAGAGACTTAGTTTGTAGAGCAAGTTCCATCATGTGTCAAGTAATTCTCTGTTGAATGAGAGTAAATTTAATAAATTCAGAGACTCATTTGCATATTTATTAGTTCTGTAAATATATCAGATTTTTGATGTGCATTTGCTTGCTAAATGGTTTTTTTTGTAAATACTTATTTTAAATATCAATTTTAGCTCTGGTAAATAAAGGCAACTGCATCTATGCAACGGGTCAATATGACAAGGCTCAAGAGTACTACCGTGAAGCGTTGCGAACAGAGTCCTCCTGCACTGAGGCTCTCTATAACCTAGGTAAGCGAGATTCATAACAAATTTCATTTGACAATGTGGTATAAAAATATTGACTGCTCATGAAGGGAATGGTGAAATCTATTGCCCCGAGGTGATGTGGAGACTGTAGCCTATCTTAAGATCATTATATGATAATGTCAGATTAATTATTTTGGTCTCTTTAAAATACTGTTTTAATTCGAAGTTTGAACAATAGTAGTATTTAGCCAAGCACATTGCTTCTTGCTGTGCAAGGTACAACAATTTTTTTTCAAATCCTGTTTTTTACATAAATATTTTTATTTGAATTATTTCATTTGTACTTTAATTTACTTTTTGTGGCACAATGAAATATCTTGATAGATTTAACTGTAATACACAAGTTAATGTCATTCATTTTGCTTTCTGTAGGGCTTGTAAACAAGCAGTTAGGGCAGAATGAAGCAGCATTGGAGTGTTTTCTCAAACTGCATGCTATCCTGAGGAACAGTGCTGAGGTCATTTATCAAATAGCATGTCTGTATCCTTTATACAATAATAATATATGTATATAAAAATAACAATATTAACAATAACATAATAATAATAATTATTCTTCTGTATTGGTCCTCATTCAATTGGAAATCGGAAATTTGGGCTGAGCACCTGTGGAAGCTGTGGTTCAGCGCCACCTGGCTTAACTATAACATATAACAGACTCAAATTAAGTGTATTTCTGCACACTCCTACGCAAATTTATCCATTGTAAACCCTCAAAATCTGCCTGCAGCAAAGGTATATTTCCCCTTTAGCCAAAGACTCTTTCCATAGGCCCATGGGGGCCCCTTTGTTTTGAACCGTCTGTTGAATTTATTAAACAGGGTCCCCTGTCTAATTTTAAGCCGTCTCTACATACCTCATTCTAGAAATTATTTATATCCTACAAGGTACCCATTATTATTTCTGTGTGGTGAAACAAGAATCGTAGATAATGTACACAAGTAGAATGGACAAGATAAGATTTGAAACCCCAGCCTCAATGTTGAGAGCATATACCATAATGTAAAGATATATATTGTACAAATAATAATGTTGATTGCAAAAATACCCTTTTCTACCCAATCATGCACTTGCCCTTGACTTTTGAAACCTAGGTATGACCTCATAGATGATGTGCCGCAGGCTACAGAATGGTTCATGCAATTAATAGGCATCGTACCAACAGATCCTGCAATTCTGGCAAAACTTGGCGAACTGTACGACAGCGAGGGCGACAAATCACAGGCATACCAGTACCATTATGAGGTACTTATACTTGTTTATTCTGTTATAGCCATATGAGACCCTACACAACAACCAGTGACATAGGCATAGGGAGGGATAATTAATCATAGTACCCCCATTTGCTTTGGTTCTCGTAGTTAGTTTTTTAGCTTTATCACCACTATCCCCTGATTGTACTTTTGAATAATAAAATATGTCAATTAATAGTAAAACCTTCCAGAGCCACAAGTAATGCTACTCAACCGAAAGACGTTTCCAAAATGACAGCCCAAGAGAATCAGCTATTTCATCATAAAACAGACATAAATCTATAAATAAACTGTACAATATAAGAGATAGGCTTCTAAATCTAAAACAGAAGTTTCATTTAATACATGACCATATCTTTATGCTGTGATAAATATCCATCTATACATAATTAATAACTCTGAGTTATCTCTTCAGTGAAATCTAGAATTTTTTCCTGCACCATGTTCACACATGGAAATTACTTTTGTTCTCATTGTACCTGGTTTATTTTCCCCCCATAGTCTTATCGTTACTTCCCATCGAACATTGCTATCATCGAGTGGCTCGGAGCATACTTCATCGACTCACAGTTTGTTGAGAAGGCAATCCAGTTCTTTGAGCGAGCGGCGGTGATACAGCCGAACCAGGTCAAATGGCACCTAATGATAGCTAGCTGTCACCGGAGGAGTGGTGAGTATGGTGGATCATTAGGAGAATACCCTGGTTATACGAAACAGGTGCTGTCTCCATATCTCATATGAATCTCCAAATAAAAAAAAAAGGTTATGTTTTTCAGAAGTGGATATTTTTAGTAATTCATTAGCAGTTTTTAAGAGGCTTGCCTCCGGTTAAATTTCTGAGTAATTTTTCAAATTTTTTATTTTAAAACATTTATTACCTTTCTTATATTAAATTATTTTCCTTACTTGTATTCTCTTCTGGTGAAGTACAGTAAGTGCAATGATATAATTATCTTTTTATCTTGTAACCCGTCTAATGTTGCATGTTTTTTACAATCCTGTAAGTGGCGATTCTTGTTTTTGTTGGTTTGTTTATAAATAAATAAATATGGTATAACTTTCAATTTTGGTTATTTAATTAGTTTTTTTTCAATTTGTTTTAATATTTGGTTACTTTATGAATTATAATAATACCAATATAACATAAATATAAATATTATATAATATAAATAAATATTTTTTCTCTTTTTTGCAGGTAATTATCAGCAAGCTCTAGAGACATATAAAACTATTCACCGCAAATTTCCAGATAACGTTGAATGTATGTCTTTATTAGTAGCATGATAACCATTGCCTCATCAACATCATTAAATTTGCCCAATTATCATTATATTTCCAATTATAGCAAACATCAACATTAACAGCATAATTGGCCTATCATTTTCATAAATGTGGCAAAGACAAGCCAAACCAGTCACTCGTCGCAAATCCTGTTTTGGAGATAATGGCCAAAACATGCTGGAATGTCAAAATTTTGGAAATCTATTTCATTGCACTAAACTAGCATTTATATATCTATACATCATGCTATGCTGTTATTTTCCTCATTTTCAATGTTAAAACAACAATTTTTAACAATTTGGTGATGGTTTCTGCCTATAGAAATGCCTGAAATCGTAAACTTTAAAGGCTGATTTCTCAAATATTGTTCTTTAAACAGCTGTATGTTTAAACTCGTGTAACTTCATAACGAAGTGTCGGATTTAAATGATTCTTTTACCTTTTTATAGCTCTCATTTTACTGTTAAACCCTGTATTAATAACTAAAAATTGATTTTTCCGACGAGTGACTGGTTTGGCTTGTCTTGGCCACAAATATAACCATTACCGTCAATGCTATCAAACTGTATGTGACAAATAAATGCGATATGCCCATATTTGGGTGTAGTATGACATCATCATGCCCATATATGGGCACATCACACAAGTTTGTGAACAGAGCTTAACAGACCTGACACATTTTTTTATGGCACTGATAATTTTTTATCCTAAGGTCTGCGATTCCTGGTTCGAATCTGCACCGATCTTGGTCTAAATGATGCCCAGGATTATGCCACCAAACTTAAGAAGGCCGAAAAGGCTAAAGAATTGCGACAACAGGTGAGATTTGTTAGCTGTAATCATTTTAAATTTCTTTCAAATCACTTTTCTCAAAATATAAACAACCAAAAGTCATTTTTTTGTTGTAAAAGATCAGTTTTAAAGAGGGTCCCTCGCTCACAAGTTAATAGGCATTTTTCGTTTTGACTACGCGGCCAGTCTACTACGAACTAATGGACCGTGACAGCAACGCCAAGATACTGTTCGCGTACTACACCAAGAGCTGTTTTCGTTTTTTTAAGGCGACTACGACGACGCAGCACACGTAGGCCTAACGGAGGGGAGTTAGTCGACCATGGTTTTATTACCAGGGAACAATGTTCCCTTGTTTTATATTTGAAAAAGGAAATATGAAAAAAAAACTTAGTCAAATACTGTATACGAAATAAAAAGTTTCCAGAAAACACTGAGTGATGTTTCGCTGTTGGCTAGGATCTAAGCCTAGTCTAGCCTAGGCCTAGGTAGTGTCAAAAGAGTCGGGAACCGGGAGAAGAGGGCTGTCAGGCCTGCTCAAGCAATTTGCCAAATGCAACGATGATGTACAAATAAATAGGCCTAGTACTGACAATTTTAAACAGAGGTATTTATATAACAAAGCTTGAGCCACGATATCATGAGCGCAGATGCCCTAGCTAGCGGCACCCAGATAATGTGTTCTCTCCTACCCGAAATCCACCCTGACAAGGCTAGCCTAGTTAGGCCTAAGCCTAAGTAAGAGCCCCCTTGGGCCTTTTTTCACTATCCCCTGATTTACCTAATTTTATGTTGTGACTATTCATTCCTCATTTATTGTATGTGTATAAATAGGCCTTCATAAAACATTTAATTACTCACTTGTTTTAATAATTAATTCATTATTGAACGAACAATGCTCGATCGCGGATGCGATGAAAATTGCAACCCCCAACAAAAAAATTACCAGCAGTTTGCCAAAGAATCCGTTTATCTGATTGGTCAATATTAAGGTAGTCGCCACTACGCGAAATTCAGAAATTGGGGTTGTCGCGGAAGCTATCACAACGCCGATTTAGCCAGTAAGGTTTGTGAGCATGCACAGATGTCTGTAACGCTCTATTAGTTCGTAGTAGACTGGCCGCGTAGTCAAAACGAAAAATGCCTAATATCAAGCCTGCATCCACCCATAGATTTCCTGTTTTAAACCAGTCACTCACTGGGCTCGATGGCTGATGCAGTTCTAAGCCTCAACATGCGCGCAACAGATTGTTATTAATGACAATTCATTCAGACTGCCACTATCAGCAGATAGCGTTGCGTCGTCCAGCGCTTGCGGAGTTGGATTTGTCATACGACGCTCGTTCGTCCGTCATGTAACATAATAAGTGCCTGGCATTAGATAACCAAATATCAAAATTTTTGTCACTATAGCCTTAAACAACACACACTCACTTCCTATAATAATATGTGTTCTTCTGCTGCAAAATGAGATGTAATTTATTGTACTAAATGATAAATCATGGTTTTGTTTTTGGTGGGAGAATACCTAACAAGCAATGGGAGATTTGACATATACTATTATATACAAGAATATCGTTAATAAATTAGAAAAAATGTTCCACCCACAATTTCACAATGTATGTTTTAATAGATTCAATTATAATAAAGTTTTTCTATTTTTTTTTTTTGTTATATAATTTATTGATGCACTTGAGCATTTAAATTAGATTTAGAATTTTTTTAAAGTACTTTTTTGATCAAAATATTATTAAATCCTATTTAATTTACACTTTCCTGCTTTTCATTTGCCAAATTTATCCTGCATGTCCTAATTTCTTTCATTTTCCCATCGGATTTTTAAGCTTCATCCTGAGGATATTGAAAAAGAGGTGATTCTATGGTGTTTACAGTGGTCAATCACATCTTAATTGAATATTTGCCATTATTGTATTTTTTAGTTTTAGTTTATAGAGTTGTCACAAGCCATCATTCTACAATTATACTGTACACAAAATATTATTTTTGAGGACATCATCATTATTAGCATTGTTATTATCAGTGGCGTATCTAGGGACAGCTTGGGGGCGCACGCCTTTCCAAAAATTACTCACTGCCCCCTCCCCCAACCCACCCAAAATCACGGTCAAGCAGTTAAAAATCACCTATAATCACCTTATTTTGCCACCCTCAACTAATCATTGAACCCCCCCATTACACCCGCTATCAGACTCCCTCCCATTTAATACCTTTAGATACGTCACTGCTGTCTTTTATAATTCTATCTTCCAATTCATACTAGCAGATAAATTCTTAAATGTATAGCTATATTGTGTTTATGCTGGAGCTAACGCATTACATGTACAATATGCATATATATACTGTAAAAGTAATTTGCATATTACAAGGGAGGTATGAAACCACAAAAACTTTAAATCATGAAATTATGCACCTGTTATGGTTATTAATGTCTCTAAAATGCTGGCAATAATGTAATTAATATTATAGCTTTATGCCTAAACTATCTTTGTTATGTCTTTATTGTTTTGCTTCAAAATGTTGTCTGCTTTAAGCTTATGTATCTGCAAATACACAGGGCAATCAAAATACAAGCGCTTGCAAATACCATCCAGGAAAATGTTAAGGCATGACAGAGTTTACAGCATTAGATATACCGCAAAACCTTGAATAGAAACCCCATGGACTTAATCTCAAAAAGCGGCCCATCTTGAAAAGATGCCCGTCCAAGTGTCCTAAGAAAACACAACTCAGGGATTCTACCTATTTGAGGTTTTACGGTATATGGCATCGTAGTTGCATGTCTTTGCCACACAAGGCATAAGGTATAGAGTGCATGCTTTGCTAAATATTTAGTCAGTCATAGTATTTAAATGTAGCACTGTTATAGATTGGATCCAAGATGGCCTTGCTACACAGTGCAACCTCTGGAAAATCGCAATGCTTGCAATGTAGCATTTGATATAGATTGGTTGCATCAAAGTTGGATGCTTTGCTACACAGGGCAATCTTTAGTCAGTCACAGTATTTACAATGTAGCACTGTTAAAGATTGCGTCCAAATTGGTTTGCCACATAGGGCAAACTGTGGGAAGTCGCAATGCTTGCAATGTAGCATTTGGTATAGTTTGGTTGCATCAAAGCTGAATGTCCTTGCCACACGAGGCAACCTGAGGGCAATTGTAGTGCTTGCAATAAAGCATGCAAAGTTGCATGTACTTGTTACACAGGGCAATCTCTGATCAATTTCAATTTAATAATAATATTAGATTGCCACCCAAGGGAACATAATATGCAGCATTGGAATAATGTTCTTCAGAGCAACTTCTTTGCTTGTAACATAGTTTATGGTATAATTTATTTGATATCACAAATAACATTTATAATTACACCAAAAAAAGAAAAAAAATATTGAGAAAGCACACAGATTCATTTTTGTTGATATAAGCCTAAATTAAATAAAATAATAATGTATTTACTTTCAAAAATGCTCCATACAGTGTTTCATTAAAATTATGGTAAGAACATGCAAGAAAATTACAGCTTATAGTTAATATATAAATGAACTTTTAATTGTTTTAAAACATGTACCCATTTTTTAACTTCTTCAACAAAAAAATCTGCTTGTTTATCAGCGTGCTTCTAGTGGGCGTGCAGGCAGTGGGCGTGCAGGCAGTGGTCGAGCTGGCAGTGGAAGGGCAGGGAGTGGCCGGAGCAGAGGTGGTAGTGCAGGTAAATATCATAACACATTAAATAATAAATTACATGCACTAGATTTGATGTGGTCTAGGAATTAATCTCACTGAAATTACAAAAAGAATAATCCTTTAACAAGATGGGTGCATTGGTAAGAATGAGTTTTGAATGCAAGCTAAATTTAGAAAAAGAAAACTAAAGGAAAAAAGCAGTGTAACAAAAAAAAATATTAAAATATTTACTATAAGGCAGTAGTATCTGTGAGATACATTTGGTGGTCTGGTGCCTAGACAAACTGGGTAATTTTGGATCATTTTAGCTTTTGTGAGATATTTTGGTACGAACCTGTGTACTGGTCTTCCCAAAGGTAGAAATTTACAGTATCAATAATACTAAAACTTTGTACTGCATTATAAACAGAGAATATTTTTAACTTTATTGTTCATATTTAGAGATACAGTATTGTGATAGTTCCATGTTGTGAAATTTTAAATGATTGCTTAATTGGTGATTGGTAGTTTAACATAAATGATCATTTGTGGCAAAGACAAGCCAAACCAGTCTCTCCTAGCAAAAAATTCATTTTAGTTACTAATACAGGGTTAAGTAGTAAAATGAAAGTTATAATATGATAAATCCGACATTTCATTATGAAGTTACAGGAGTTTAAACACACAGTTTAAAGAACAGTATTCGAGAAATCAGCCTTCAAAGCTTATGATTTTAACCATTTTAAAGGCAGAGACCATCACCATATTGTTAAAAAATGTTTTAACAATAAAAATGGGGAAAATAACAACATAGCATGATGTTAATAGATATATGTTTAGTGGAATAAAATTAGATTAAACAAATTTAGACATTCCAGCATGTTCTGGTCATTATCTCCAAAACGCGATTAATGAGGAGTGACTGATTTGGCACGCCACTTTGCCACATTTTATGTGCAATAATTTATCATGTGACGCACACACTCACAGCATGCACTTGAACCATTTCATCTCATGTTAACAATACTAACCACAGGCTCTGAACAAGTACGCAGCAAAGAAGACCAAGACGGTGCTGGTGAGTTACTGCATTAAAAAGTCGTCATTCCTCATGTTCATGTTTAATATTGGTTGAGCCCACGAGATTGTGTTTAATACTGTACTGTATATTCTTGCATATAAGTTGATCTTGCATATAAAACGGTCCTTAGCTTGAGAAGATTTTTGGACAAATTTTGTATGTCAGCGACTAATTCACACCCTCGCTGTTTCACTAACGGACAACTCCTACGCCTACTTTTTGTTGCTTCTTATGGTCTTGATTCTGCATCTAGCTAGCTAAAATCAAAGTCAAATGTAGAGCTAGTATTCCAAATAATACCATTCTATGGGCTTTGTAAATGTTCATGAAAATCTTATCCCCCCACATTTTAAAGTTGTGTTCATTCATACCAAGTAGCTTCGCCTGTTATGGACGACGATCTGCACATAAGACAAATATAATTTTAAAAAATCAACAATGTATATGTTGACCCCTTGTTTTTTTGCTATTTTAAGCCTTGTCTTATAGGCAAGAATATACAGTCAAATCGAGTCGTGATTTTTTAACATGCACTTCATCATTATCTAACCCAATAGTACTATTTGGCATTGTTGGCCTATTTGTTGTCTTGGTTTTAATCGGGGGATTTATGTTGCAAGACAACCTGAGAACAGAATAACTCACTTTAGACTGCCCTACGTTCTCTAAACAAATCACATCATAGAATTCAGAATGTGAACGAAGTCTTCGCATGTGGAGATTACCGTAGTCACTTGTTAAAATGTAGCTCTCCCTACGTAAATTATTGTTTATTCTTAGATTCTGGTCGCGGAGGAAGTGCTGGTAGCAGTCGACAAAATAGTGCAAGGCGAACTAGAGGGGGAAATAAGAGGAGTTTACCTAGTGCAGATGGCCCATATGAGCCGGAGGAGCGAGTTGTTGGTAAGCTTATATTTGTTTAATGATAATTTTAAACAGTTATTCAACAGTATCTGTGCTCTGCTTGTATTGTAAAGTGTTTGGTGATTGCGTTTGTACATTGTTATTGAAAACAATATGTCGTGTGTATGCCTTTTTGTGTTGTTGTTCATGGAATTGTGTTGGCTAATGAAAGATGGGGCAGAGTATGCACTATCAGTTTCTTGAAAGAATGTTGCGATTTTATTAAAGAAACTAGGAGAGAAGCCAATCCGCCACACTTTTTGACAACTATCAAAAACCTTGTCTTCTTTTTACAGATGCATCATACGTGGATCCTCTTGGACCATCAATGGAAAGGCCCAAGACTGCTGCACGCAAACGTGAATCCGCAGAAGATGGATTTGCTGAAATCGAACTCGGTGACGACTTATTACCAGAGTAGAAATTCACTTCTTACGACAAATCTCAATGTCATTCTCTGAACTAATTACTGTATCATAGATATAAATATTCTGATCATACAAATGCAAAAGAAATTGGATGATTTTTGTGAATATTATCTAGGTGTGTTTTTTTTTAGTTGAATATGTTTTTTTTTTTTAATTATTGAAGTCGTACTAAAGGTCTAATAAAATGTCTTGTGATATTTAGCAAAGAAAACCTTAACAATAGATTAATCTGAAGAGTACCACATTGTACTAATACTGAAATATTCAATATTTGTTTAACTACACTGTATATACAATATTATTAATATTTTGAATGTTAGTAAAATGGGAGGGGTATTATGGACCTAGCACTGAATCTTTTCTCTTATAATGCATAATTTTGTCAATGTTTCAGTCTTCTTTCATTATCTATATTACTGGTATATTTTGCAATTTATGAAAACATACTACCAAAGAAAGTGGTGTTTATAAACTGTTGAGTATATCAGATACTGTTTATTTTTTATGTGCATTTCAAAATTTAAGATTTGATTATTACTTTTTCATTCTTTTTAGAAAAGAATATATGAAAAGTTTTTTTTTTTTTTTTTTTTACTACAGCACAGGTATCTATACCTGCGACTAATAAAATAATATCAATACTGATTGAAGATATGTCATTCCATTATTGTACATTGAAGTTTCTGTGATTAAAACAAGAATATTTTAAAGGAATTAATAAATGTTAAGTACAGATATAAAATTCTTTATTCATTTTTGTGTTCGGTATCTGAGTTAATATGTTCATGCCAACAAGGCTTCTAAGCACTTCACATTATTACCCCCAGTCACTTATGGAACCCTGGAAGCATTCTATTATGTTGCAGCTATGATCAGTGCATTTTGTGTTTGAACCTACCAGGTACCCACTTGTACTATTGGGTTGAGAGTAATAGGTAAAGTGCCTTGCCTTAGGACATAAGCAAAATGCACAGCGAAGGATTGAACCTCTGACCTCAAACAGCACCACAACCGCTGTGCCAAACTGCTCTTACAAAGTTATGTTGTAATGACAGAAAATTGATTTTCTTGTCAACGGCTTGAAGAAAAGCAAACCCCATATAAAATGTCAAGAAAAATATGACAGTTAAAATTATGTAATTTGAAATTTCACAAAAACATTCCCAATCCTTCACATTTGTTATTAAAGATAATTAGTTAAAAAATAAGTAAACACCCTTTTTGCATGAAAAAAATTTGCAGCATTCTAGTTTCCTAAAACAAATGCACACCAATTTGACAGTACTATTCCACAAGTTCATGGCTGATAGGCAAGCAGTCCACTGTCAACCAACCTTTGAACTTTAGGTTTCAGGTCAGCACTTGCCCTCTGTAGCAATCTGAAAAAAATAATTACATTTCCCTTGAAGTTATATTGCCACACAAAAAAAAAAATATTAAAATAAAACTCAAGTGAAAGAAAAAGTAATAATTTCACAATTATGGTGATGAAAAAATATAGGTTGTGTTCACACTAATGTTCTAGTATCCGGATCGGGAGCTAACCGTCAGCACCCGTGTGAGAACGCCCGATCAGTTATCGATAACCGTTACCAGGATCTGGATACGCTAAGGGTTAGTGAGCGCCATCGGTTAGCAAGTCGAGCGCGTATCTATCATTTAACCATTCACATGTATGCATTTACTTTTGGCCAGTGATCCCACTGTCATCTCCGTGATATCTGGATTGGGGATTGTCTTGTATGAACGCTAGGGTGAACACGTTATTTATCTGGATCCTGCTAACCGTTAACTGGTGTGTGGGTGTGAACACAGCCTAAATGAAATAATAATCAAAAAAGTAGTTTTCTTTAATTATAAACATCATACCCTTGGACTTTGTGCGGTTCTTTCCTAAGCATTTCTATGAGTCTTTGTATTCGGGTATCGGCAAGAACTTCTTGTATTTTAGGGTCGGCTAGGATCTTTTGCATCCTTAACTCGTCCTCCTCTGTGCTCTGTTTCGGTTTACTATTACTACTACTATTGCTGCTCTTTGCTGTCGCATCTACCGGACTTCCACAAGGCACTGCAGTAGGACTGGTAGGGACGGCCTGAGAATCTCCAAGCTTCGTAAAATGGTCACCTGAAAGAACAAAAACCGAAAGGTCCACTGATTAATCTCAGATAAGATACATACTCCAAGCATCGAAATACATGCCATCGTGTCAGGATTCAATATTTCAACATTATGTCATCATCAGGAATGATCCCTGACACGATGACGTGCATTTCAATACTTGGAGTATGTATTATATTATCTTATCTGAAGAAACAAAGTTAATTACTTCTAATTACAGACGGCTGTGCTGCATTCACAATTAACAAAAAGGAAAGCATATACCACGTCGCAATTATGGCCCATTGTTGACATATTTTACAAAATATTTTCTCTTGGTGACCCTATGTGTACTACTTTTTGTTGTGCTCAACATTCAATTCTCATATTAAGATACATTTTCAAGTCTGAGAGTAACATTCTGGACAAGAGATGCTAAAAATTTATATTTTGTCAAACAACCGAGTGGGTCAAGACACACTCAAGACCTCCCAACTTAGCAGCTATGCTATCAGGTTTCATGTAAGAAATATCTGTGATGTGATCCATCCATTTAGCAAAAAAAAAAAAAAAAAAAAAAAAAAAAAAAAAAAAAAAAAAAAAAAAAAAACAACCTTAAGCCGTTGGCTGCCGATTGCAGGTGGCAATTTGAACGGTTTGTCTTTGCATGGCATTGTATTCCTCCTGTCGGCCGATGACCATTGGGCACAGTAACTGGCTGTGATTGGGTTAAAGATTAAAACAAATCTCCCTTCAATGACTCCTCACCACCTGAAACTCCACATTTTTTTATTTAAAAATTAATATATTTTACAGAAAAACTGAGCTTATATAGTCACAACATATTACTGTAAGTTGCACATACCTAAAACTGAGAAAAACTCTCTAAAGAACTGCTGCAGTTCAGGATCGTTTTGGAAGTCACTCATTGCCTTCTGTGGGCTCTCTTGAAACTGTGCTACAGCCATCGCAAACTTTGGTTGCTGGATCTGTTTTGCAAGCTTCGGATGTTTCTCTATCGTCGCCAGTAAATCCCTGGTGATCCAGCTTCTATCAAGCCATGATGGGACACTATCCTTCATTGCTTCTTGGACTTCAGGAATTTCATGTTGCCGTGTTTCTTTCTTTGGTTTGAGTACTGTTAAATCTTCGTCATTCGACTGGATAAGTTCATTTGACACAGTTTTAGTCTTTTCGCATTGCATTTTAGATTTTGTTGGAGGCTTTGATTTTCCTGCGCTAAACAAGAACCCTTTTTTCATTCCGCCAAACGATGTGTTATCCGAATTTGACGGTTTTACAACAGACTTTCCAACTTGAACCTGTAGAGAATACATTTCATGATTCTTAAAGCATTGCTTCATTATTGGCTGGGCAAGTCTTGGTGCTACCACCACCAATCACTAAAATCATTATCATATATAGGGGAAAATTTAGGGAGGGGGAACGGGAGGCACATGACCCTCGGGTTTGCTACTGCCTTCTTTTATTTTTTAACAGAAAAAAATACAAAATGGCATACAAATACTAAATTTTACAACATTTAAATTTAAATTTTAAAATTTAACATTTAAATTTAAAAAATTAAACATTAATTGTTTAAATTTTACAGCATTATTGGATATATATTTATCTGTACAATTATATTAAATCTAGGCCTATATAAAAATTGGTGTGCCCCCCCCCCAAAAGAAAAGGAAAGAAAAAGAGAAGAGAAAAATAAAGACAATAATAAAAAGGAAGAAGATATTATAATGACCAGGCTCACAACACCCTACAACCCCTTCTCCACTTCAAAAACTGTCATAACTCCTTTGATCTATGCTGCCCGATGGCGTAACCACTGGGGGACAAGGGGAAAATATCTATCTTTGAAAATATCTATCTTTGAAAAATCTTCCCCACCCCTTTATAAATGCCCTTTTCATCCCCTGAAAGTGCCTAAAAACTTCAAATTTCGCATGCTTCGCACGCATTTCTTGTTAACTTGGGCCAATTTCCTCTAAAAATTGCACATTTTAGGGAGTTTTGATCAATTCCAACGAAATTAGAATTAAAAACACCGGGACACAAGGTGAAAATATCCATCTTTGGAAAATCTTTCCTCACCCCTTGACAATGCATCCTCTGAAAGTGCCTATTCTCAAATTCTTTGCGCGCATTTCTTGTTACGGTAGGCCAATTTCCTCTATAAATTGCACATTTCAGGGAGTTTTCATCAATTCCGACGAAATTAGAATTAAAAACACAAAAATATTTTGCCCGTTTCGCGTGCATTTTTTAGGGCATTTTTAGGTTTATCCTTTTAAGTTATTTAAACACATAATAGTCCCAAACTCAAGAAAGACAAATTTAAGATAGATCGTTTTAACCTGAAAGAAGGACCTCAATGTGTATTGATGGTGAAAGAATATGTTTGTAATAAATAAAACCACGATGAAAATGCTTATACTTAGTTTCAAACACACGTGTACAGATAACATTTGGTGCTGGAGGTATTTTATCAAGACAATTTTCATAGTCGGAGGCACAAACATTTTTTTTCCAGGCCTGAGAAACACACCCATAGCCTGTACCTCTAGCCACGGCCAAGTTATTATACTAGTGATGATCATATGTTGGAATGTAGGCCTAAAACTTACTGCAGCATTCTTTGTTGGTTTTGGTTGCTTTTTGTGGACTGGTGTTGTACTGGTTGACTCTGACGTCTCGGATGGTTTGCAGGAATCATTCTTCATTCCTAGTTTCTTCACTTGTTCTAGAAACTCAGTCATGTCTTCTAATGGAGGGGGACCATCTGAATGAAGTAAGCAAAGGCAATAAATCATTAACAACAAAAATAATAATGGCTACACTACCATTATTATGAACAAAATTTAATCTAGGACTAAGCCCTGGCCTATCTAGCCCAGATAGGTCATAAATAGCTCCTGGGTTTTATAGAGCCTACTCCGGGACTAGGCCTAGTCTTCTAAAAAAGATGAGCCTACCTAGCTAGTAGAGAGCCTAGCCTAGGGGCCCTAGGCTAGGCTAGTACTACTAGCTAGGCCTAGGCCTAGGCCAACTACATTATAGCCTAGCATGTTTGTCCAAAAGCTAATTCAAATTAAGTTGAACTGCCTAAAAGTATTATACAGAAAATCATAGCTAATTTACTAATAATAAGATGGTGCAAAAATATACACCAATTATGATTATTTAGCACCACAATTCTTGTTTACTGTTTCCATACCATCTATTTCCGCCATCGCGAATTTTAAGTTTTCACGTTCAATAAATAGCGCCCTCAAAGTTTGTGTTTGTGGATTTTTTTTTCTTCATAATCCGTGTCCTAGTCCTAAATGAGAGGTATTACCACTAATACTGGTACAGTACCTTCTTGTGTATAGAGTATAGTTCATAAAGGCGAGTACCGTACAGGTATTATACCGTTTCTCATCTTTAAATTTTCCCGTTTATTATTGGTCTAATAATATACAGTAATTATCTAATACTCAATGTCCTCCAAACCCTTACAAAGTCCTGCGAAAAATGACAATTATCTGATGACAATGGCTTTTAAAGAGGTTACTGTTTGAATGACTGGGTCGATCAACGAAGTTCAATTCAATTCAACGTATTTTATTCCGAAATTTCAAAAAAAAAAAAAAATTTAAAAAAATGCCAAGGATTAGACCAATCAAACGTCAAAGCAAGTAAATGCAAAGCAATCTAAAAAATCTTTTTTTATGCAAGAGCTGTAACTTGGAAATCAGAAAAAAAGTAACATAGGCCTATATTCTAACTACACTCGAACTATGTACAACAAAGTACAACAAGAATTCCCCGACGAGGGGTCCACACCGCTGGGGAAGCCTAACCCCTGTCTCTTATACACATCAAAAAATAATTTGTCGGGGAATTTTGTTATCAAAAATGTTTAAAAAAATGTTTTATGGGATTTTATTTAAAAAGAATAATTTTTTTTCTTTATTTTATTTACTTCACATCCAACAGCAAGTACACTCGCCACTTACAGGATGAAGCATCTTAACTCCTACATAATTTGATAGAAAACATTGCAATTTAAGAGTCCCCCATTCGCAAGTACTAACCCCTGTCGGAGGTATCAGTCCCTCTGTCGGGGAAGAGCTGGCGCCACTACTGCAACCACGTTAAATAGTCTTTGACAAATGGGCAGACTTAGGGGCAGCGCCCCCCCCCACCTTTTTTTTTGAAAGTAAAAAAAAAAAGAAAAAAAGGAAAAGTAACTATTGATCACCCAAAACGCCTCAAAGGTTATTTCCGGGCGTCTAGAAAACAAAAATTCCTCCGGGAAATGCTCCCGACCCCTTAGGGCAGTGTTGTCTCTCGATCTTCCCCCACACTCGAGCATCTCTGGATCCGCCACTGCCTAGAGTCTCAAAACATTTTTCTTTTTTTTGTAAACATTTTTAAAAACTGTTCACCCTACAAAGCTCATAATACAGAAAAAACACTAATTTCTTTTTGCTGAATAAATTATTTTACCGGCTGCGTCCGGGCCCTTCGCAAGCAAAAAGACATGCCCTGATATCTTCTGTCATTTCAGAAGTCTCAAGCTTTACAAATGTTATATGTAATATTTTATATTAAGCCAACTAAACATTGGGTAGATGTCCATATACACAATACCCAAATACATATTCTGAGGTTAAGTTCTAAGGTTCAGGGCAAACAACTGCTGTCCACATGGTAACCACAGACCTTTATCTAGGTTAAAATATCAAAATGTTATACTTAAAGCTAAAAAAGTGGCCTTTTTACAATCACGCAAGTATTTAGGATAGGCACATTTAAAATAAATTCATCTGCCCCAGAAAATAAAATTGTGGTTCACAGATGCCCGGGTGTGCTCAATGCATGCTGGAAGGCATGCCGTACTTAGCATGCTAAAAATGTTAGCATGCCATGTATATTCAAAATGTGATATCTTATTCTATTAATATTCCGGATAAATTTTCTTAATTCCCCCCCCCCCCCCCAAAAAAATCGGCGAAGTGGAGTCGACAGTATTTAGCGAAATGGGACCAAACTGGGTTTCAACAAAGCGCCAAGAATTCCTCTTCCTAGATTTAGCAAGCTGTAACAATAATCAATTCACTTTTCACAATGATTACTTGTTGGTGCCCTGGTGTATTTAATATTTGTTTACTGTTTTAAAGCAGTATATATGTTCTCGGGCACAAATGTAGTCTCCATATAATCATCATTGTTTACTGCATGGTTGTTACTCTCAGTGGAACCTTGACGAACATTCTCGTATGTGTTTTCCGTGTCTGTACCTGCTGTAGGTTTCTTCATCTCTTGTCGTCGTTTGCTTTAAAAAAGAAACACAATAATAATGTTTATGTTGTAGCAAATTAAATAAAGCGTAAACCTAGAGATATAAGATACAAACATTTATTTTTCAAATTCAACAAGTATTGCATTTATCATATTATTATTGCAAGTTGTGCCACCAAGAACGGATGCAAGCTGGGTTTTTATTTGTCATTGGGTCAGTGGCGTAACGCCTATGGGCACTTGGGGGAAGGGGACGAAGCCACGTGACCCCATCCCAAATCAAAACAGCACTCTTCTAACAGAGCCTTGACATTATGATCTAGTAGAAGACACCAAGAACTAGCAAATTAAAACAATGTAGTCCTAGGTTTTTAACTCACAAACGTTCTAAGTGGACTCACATGACAAATACTTCTTTTATACTAAATATATTCCCGACCCAACGTGTTTGACAACCGGGTTCCTACAAACTTGAAATTAAAATAATATATAGCAGTCCGAAATAATAAAGGACTAGGCCTACACAGAATTCACAGAAATTTCGAATCAAACCATAAGTAATAAATAACAGGTGACCCCAATTGGACCCCATTACTTTCTAGCCCCCGGGCCCGGTGACTCGTCGTTACGCCACCGCAGTGGGTGGGAGGCAAAGTGCCAATCGAGAACCTATGGTCTGTGGGAAGTGTTCTCTTACTTTATGAGATCTACAGATTGCTAAGCCAGAAGCACCAGAGTTTTAGCCATTTTGATATCTTATCGAAATTGCTTAACACCAATTAGCTGCTGCAGAAGAGGAGGGGTGTGCTTCCTTTCCACTTAGATCCGTCACTGATCGCAACCAGACCGGTAGATCTCTTGATGGTTATTTCTCAGTCAATTACGTTTTTATTGAGAAGTATTCCAAACCTTATAGGGAATTTTTCTGTAATTGCCTGGTTGAATACGTAAAAAATAATAATTTTTTCGACAGTATAATAGGTGAAATTGTTATCATACTTCTGTATTGTTAAGAATTACATTTAAAAGAAAACTTAATGTTTATGAAAACTACTACCATGGTAAGATTTCAGAATTGTTACTCCTGGTAGAATCTTTTATTGGGAAAACATTTCCATAAGCATGTTCATCTATTGGACCTTCGGCTGTATCTTTTGTGTGTTTATTCACTTCTTCGCTTTAAAAAGGAAGAAAAGCAGATGTTACAAACAGTACGGTATTTTTAAAATAGACATCAGCATATAATATGTTACAAATTCACAGATATTTTAAAATACTTAAGGATTGTACAGTATATATTCAATCAAAATTGTATTTCGAATCTTCAAATTTTTACCAACAACAATTTATTTGTTATTTTTTCATGAGTATTACCTTAGTGAAAATACATAATTGTTACCAGTAGCCCGATTATAACCTTTAACTGGTGAAACGTTTCCGTAAGCATGGTCAGCTGGGTCCGTGGCCGCATCTTCTGTAGGTTTACTCACTTTTTCACTTTGTTTTCGTTTGCTTTAAATGTAAGATATACAGCATTGATCATCATATATAAAAATTGAATAAATAGCATTGTCATAGCGCCACCGAACATTGCATTCTGTCGTAGATATTCGCGCTATACAAATATTTGCTGATTGATTGATATAAATATCATCAATATATCTGATACTAATCAGATAATGATCATTGATAATCGATAATACTAGGATAATGATATCAATATGAATGGTTACGTAATCAATTAGGTTACGTATTGCCTAGTAATATTTTAATAACCATGACAATGTTTATTTTGTTTGGCCCCTATGTGCTACTTTTGTGTGTAAAAAAATGATACACATCTTCAACGCTACATCATGAAATTGAGTCGTTTATTGTTAAGAGGCCCTGCCGTAGACAGCAGTCAAATGATCAATTCGTGGCGCCCCCTGTCGTCCGACGCCACGACGAGGTTGAACCAAAATGTTAATTTGCCTATCCAAAACGTTATTTAGACTAGATTGTGGTCTAAAAGTACAATTTTGGCCATAGGCCTAATAAACCATAAAACTCTCCCAATGAACCATACCAGATATATTTATTCCGGGACCCTGACAGAGGCTCTGTCGGCCCCTTAGTTGGGACCTCCTGTCGGACTTATTGAGCCGCCGCTGCAACAGAAGTCGCCCCTGTATAGTTTTTGTGTACCATACTGAATGTAGTACTGCTAATTACATCAAGGGTATTGTGATGTAATTTAAAAACAAAATGTTTAGCTTATACCTACCAAAAAAATATAATAATCACAACCACTAGAACAGTACAAACGAAAGCTCCAACGCCACCACCAATAGCAGCACTTGACTTAAACCCTGCTAACGATTACAGGAGATAAATAGAAAATATAGCAGATTAATGGCCATTACGATTCTGAAACTAGGAATTGCTGGGCTTGCATGCAATGTACTTAAATAATTCCAACAACGACACTACCAATGTCTTTCTTAGAAAACATTTTCGGTGGAGACACATACCAATATCTGGAAGAGTACTTTCGACAAATTCGCTTTCACTGTCTTTATTCGAGACAGTTACGGAAATAACGTAAGTAGCTTCAACATCAATGTTGTCTATCGTTGTTTGAGTATCAATACCTCGGTAAACAACATCACCAACTCCTTCATTATCATTCAACTTGAGGTACACACTGTAGATATATGTAGTGTTGTAACATTTCAATGTTTCTGCATCAGCTTCGATGTCCTATAAAATATGAAACAAAATCAAATACCGGTACATACTTATAACTGAGATACTCAAAGTTGATACTGAAGCTAAGTGGCGAGGTTTAGTGAACATATATAATCTGGTATCTAGATCACAAATATTAATTTTCACCATCCCCACCACCATCATTATCATCATCATCATCAACATGAACACCACCATTATCATCGCCATCATCACCACCACCACCATCCTCAGCATCATCATCAACACATTTTAACGCCAATCATTTCTATCGTTTTTGCCCCTCGACCATTTGATAGTTATCATGCCCTCTATGTTCTACATCCAGTGGCGTTGTGGCCTATCTCTGTCACATTCCCATCCGAGACATTATTTTTATCAAACTTATTCAAATCCCATTTTAGAATGACGTTCATTTTGGTTTGATTATAGTAAGTATTAATGTAGTAGGTAAAATGGCTCTGTCTACACTATCACATTTTATGTGACAAATGTGTGTTCAAAAAGTGGGGGCCGATCGAGACAACACTACTCTAGGGGACAGGGTCTTCTAGGCACCCGAAAATAACCTCTGAGGCGTTTTGGGCGATCAATTAGGTGGGGGGGGGGGAGCCTAAATCCGCCGCTGAAGATGTCATATTATATCCAAATGTGGACATATCAACTTTATTTGTCGCATACAATTTGAGAGTGTCGACAGTGTCTTAGAATGCGTAATCCAGCACAGAACTTACTGTCCATGTGACTTTTATATTCCGTGGTTCTTTTTCCGAGACTTCATGGTTCACGTTCCGAACATGACTAGGCTCTACAAAATGTGTCAGTAGTAAGAATCAATTCATGCATTTATTGCGAGTTACAGTTTGTAATAGTACGGTACATATATATTGTTATCAGAATAAATTCTCACAAACCATTGCTTATCTAAAATTTCTGAATCAGCGACGGATGATTAGGTGAGGGGAAATGGCGATAGCACACAAAATAAGGTGATTCATAACTTACTTCCACAAAGAGTCTTTGCACTGATTCGCTGCATTCCAATCGGCCCTTCGCCGCCTTTACCAGGTCTCACGGCCGACACAGCAAAAGTATAATTTGTGTCCCACATCAACCCAGAAGCAGTTCCTGACAGTGTGTTCTGAAAAAGATTTTGTTTCCATTCGTCGGTTCCGATATTGCTAAGTCTGTGGTGAAGAATGTAGCCAATAACAGGTCCATCTCCATCGTCTGTAGTGTTATCCCATGCAGTCCAGTTAATAATTATCGCAGAACTCGTAGTCATAGCTGGGTTTACCCACAGACTCCCCTTGTTGTATGAAGGCGGACCTTTTTGAAATAGACCCCGAAAAATTATATTCAAAATTATCACTATATTTTCTCTGTATTAAATATCTAATAGACATAATAGGCCTATTGCTATTTCTTTAATCTCTTTAATCAAGCTTTTTGTAGTTGATATCGGTCTTCAGCTGCTTCTATTGATATTTATAACAAGGCCTATTGTTTCTTTTTAAAATCTTGACAAATGCCAGGGGTGGCGCCAGAAATTGCCCGATGTGTAGAAAATATACATAATATCTTTTTTTCTCCCCCACGAATTGTGGTTTTTCTCCCCCTTCCCCCCCCCCCCCCCCCCCCCCCCCCCCCCCCCTCTTC